CTTTCTAAATACTAATAAATGCTCATAAATACTAACAATAAAGCACTTAAATTTTTTTGCGTCATGTGGCCATTAATGTGTTGCTCATTAATGTGAATGTGTTGCTACATTTTTTTATTATTTTTTAATAATTTATTATTTTTCTCTTCTCTGATCATAACCCACCATAAGAAAACATTTCTTTAACATAAATGAAACCAATAACAAATGCAGTCCATTATAGAGGCATTACCATCAGGAACACACTGAACCCCATTGCCGTAGTATCCAGGTTTACACTGGCAGCATCGTCCGCTCGGATAATTGCTGCATTCACCAAATTTAGAGCATTTCTGTCCACCACATTCACCAGAGTTGTATGTAAATACTGTATGCAAAAAAAGACAAAAAAGGGATAATTTCAGCTCAAGAACAGTACAAAGTTGTATATTGTTCAAGTAAATAAACCATTCATGCTGACCGTCAACCTTGATGTTGTCTTCATTTTCGATTTCCACGACTGCCGGTCGTTCAGGTCTGTACTGAACCGTCTGCACCTGGAAGGGTGGAGGATGTTCTGGACGATCATAAACTCCATCCAGGTTCTCCTGCTGGACGTCAGGATACACCGGGTGTTGATGGCTGGGGTTTCTTGTGGTCTGATATTGGTGGGAATCCAAAGGTAAGTCTGGCACTTCTCCAGGAGCGACGTCCGTGAAGTAAGGGAACGTTCCTATTTCATACACCCACACACCACGCTTTCCGGAGTTAGTCTGCCTGGAAAAGACATCCAACAGCATTATGGGAAAACGTGGTCAAAGAACACTTACACTGCTAAAGAGTGGACATGCCACCAAAACATTATTAGATCACCTAAAAATAAAAATCCAGTTGCTCCAATGGAACATACTGTAAGACGAGACCTTCACAAAGATCTTTTTCTTTACAATTCATAGTGAATGCACATCTGTCAAGCTCCAAAAATTACAAAAAGTACCAGAAGACTAAATACAATAAGACTATAAGAAAAAAAGTAGGCCAAACTGAAAAAAAAATATATATATATATATATTTTACATACTTAATATTTTGTCTTGTTTTGTCTTCCATTATACATTTCTGAAAATTCTTAAATCAAGACATTTAATTAAGAAGGAAAATTACTTCAGATCTTAGATATAAACAGATATAGAAATAAATCAACAAAAGAATCCTTAAATCATCCCTAAATACATTTACTTGTTAAGCAAAAATAGTTAAGATACTAAGTTTTGTTTTATGAAAAATGTATCAATTATGAAAAGTTTATGCATAAAACAAGAAAAAAAAATGTCTGTCAGTGAGGAAATAAAAATCAACTTTCTTTTTTTTTAATTAGTTTTATATTTTTTACCCAATGGACATATTTCTTCTTGTTCTAAGCATAAATTCACAAAATGTAGATTTTTTTTTTTTTTTAGAAAACAAGACTTAATATCGTTGTTTCTCTAGTAAATGTATCTTGATTAAAGAATGTTTAGATATTTGTACTAAAGAAAAACCATTTTTTGCCGACCTCGATAAAATATTTTTGCTCAAAGCGGTTAATAATTAAATATGCTTGATTATTTGATATAAACATTCCTAAATCAATACAAAAGAAAATCTTAATTTAAGATATCAAGCTTTGCTAAAAAATGTATCAAAATTAATTAATTTATTAAAGTTTATGCTTAAAACAAGAAAAATATCTGTCAATGGGGTCAGAAAAATAAAAGTGTTTATGTATGTATTTGTTTTTTTACCTCAATTTTTATACTTTTTTTTTCAGAAAACAAGAATTAATATCTTAAGCATTTTGCTTCTCAAGTAAACTTTTCTTGGTTTAAGAATGTTTCGATATTTGTTCTGGAAAACAAGACAAAAATACAGATTTTTTGCACGTCATTCGACTGAGGAACAGACGCTATTCACTGAAACTCTCCTCTATTGCAGCTCTCAAATATCATTCTACATAAAGCTATTGTATGCACTATACTTCTACGATTAGTTTAAGGAGCATTATGGTGTTTTTTTTGGTCCATTTTGGAGTTTGTGACGAGGTCATGATATAATTGTGTAGAAAAGACCCGCATGAAACTTCTTCTACTTTTCAGTTTCACAGAAGAAAGAAAAAGATTTGGAGCATCATTAGGGTGAGTACGTGATGACAATAATTATATTTAGGTGAACTCCAGCACTAACAGCAACCAAACTTACTCGGCCAAGTTCTTGACAGACGCCTCGGTGTCGTCTGTGATGCGATAGTACGGTCCTTGCTTCTTATAAAGCACTAAGTATGTCTTCTGTCCTTTACTGAAGCCGGCGTGCATCGTGTAGCTGCTGGTGCTCTGGAACTGCATCGCCTCTCTCGGGTAGAGAAGAATCGCATAGGACTTCGTCTCCAGAGAAGCGATGACCAGCTGAAACGTATTTCGCTATAAGGATAAAGAACATGATTTATTAACTCTTGAGTGTATTTGTGCACGATCAGTTAAATCCAATACTCTTATAATTCACACATGCAGCAATCTGCAATGACACAGCCATTGGAAGTCATTCACCTTCAGTGAAAAGTCGGTGATTTTATTGAAAAACTTATATTATTTCAGTTAGTTGCCGAAGCAACATTTCTCATTTTTGTGTAGTTCAAGTTAAAATATTAAAATTACCAAAACTAAAACTGACATAAATATTAATAAAACTATTCAGACATAATGACTAAATGACTAAAACTAAAATATAAAATTAAAATAGTAATAACATATTCAAATATTATATTAATTATACTAAAATAACACTGGATTTTTCCCACTTGTTTTTAACTCTTTTATATTTAAAATAAGTGAAAAGATCTGCAGTGTAAAATATTTAAAATAAAACAATATTTTAAACCTTGCAATTGTGCTTTAATTATGCTTTAAACACATATATAACAAATATAAACACAACACATATTTTTTAAAAAAAACTAATAAAAATGTAAAAAAAATAAAAAAATAAATAAATAAAAATGCGACAAATTGACTAAACTAAAATTAAAATGAAAACAATATAAAAGACCAATTCCAAATATTAATAAAAACTGTAATAGTATATTAATTACACTAAAATAACTCGGATTTTTTTCACTTGTTTTTAACTAAAATTTTATATTTAAAAGAAGTAAAAAAAAGTCTTGCAGAGCAAAATACATTATATTAATATATTCAAAATATAACCTATATGAAGCCTTAAATCTTATGCAATTATACTTTAATTAAACAAGTTAAAGCTAATTAAACTTGGAATTTGTAAATATTTTAACTGGAAAATAACCCAAAAATGTATTTTTAGGAATATGAATTTTGCAGTACAAGTGAGTAGGATGCATGCATTAATAATAGTGATGCATTTTTTTTTAGGTCCAGAACATACACAGATTTGCATTACCAATAAAGCAAGGCAACCAGCAGTAGAAAAGACCAACAATACATCAATGAAAAATGCATGCTAAAAATGGCTGTATGTGTGAACGGCCCACAAGTAAACTGAACCTCACTCTTCCGGTGGGCTCCAGTCCGTCTCCTCTGCTCTCGGCCCGATGGGACGCCACATCCACCCATGTGACCACCACAGCGCTGATGGGGTTCACCACGTCATCCTCAGGGAAGGCTCTGTTGATGTGATCGGCCGCCTGCTGTAGAAGAGCCGGACTGGAGTCCTGGCGGAAGAACACCTTTCCTACTCCGTCGCTGGTGTCCAGGTCGCCCTGCAGAGCAGCGATCATCCCAAAACCAGCCGGCATGTTACCCAGATACTCGGATTCTCCTGCTGGCTTCTCCAGAGCAACAAACCCATTGGTGTTGATCTAAATGTGAGAGACAGAAGAGATAGAAGCAGATGCTGGCAATGGAAAACAATAGCCATAACAAAAACACTACAACATAATTATTTTTAATGACGTTCAGTTTGGTTAATGATTAAATCTACAGCACCACTGCATGTGAGATTGTGTTTTATCTTAATTTAATCTGAATGTTATGAGAGAAAGAATGGATGCTGAAACATAACACAATGGCATCTTTCAATTGCATTGTCTTGCTGGTTGCACGCAACAACAAACATACAGCGTGATCAGTGTAGTCTGATTCACAAACAAATGACTCTTGTGAACAAGTTCTTCTTGATAAATCGGTTTTGAAGACTCAAGGCATCATTTGGATCAGTCAACTGGACCTGTTGTTAGGTTACTCAGTTATAATAAAGCAATTAATTGACTACTTAATACATTATAGTACTGTACAAAATGTGTCTAAAATATAGTAAGTGCCCACTTGCCAATTATTTAGGCAGGAGAGCACTTAAAAATCAAGGAAACAGAATCGTGAAGTGGAATCAGAATCTGAAATCACTGAATTCCTTATGATCTCTATAGTTGACAGTATCTGTCTAGAAAAAGGGGGGGGAAATGATAGGAATTAAGTATATTAAAATAATAAAATAAAATAAAATTTAGTTTTAATTTGAATGACTTATTTGATTGAAAAACTTAATGAAAATAAGAAATGTTGCCTTGGCAAATTACTGAAATAAAATACCTAAACTGAAATAAAAAATAAAACAAATAACTATAAAGACATATAAATATAAATGGATATAAAACTACTAAATGCCAAAAACACACAGCAAAATGATTACAACTTTAACTAAAATGTTAAAAATATTAATAAAAACTATTATATTAATGATATAAAATAAAAATAACACTGGATCTTTTCCCCCACTTGTTTATTATCTCTTTATATTTCAAATAAAATTAAATAAAACTAAATTTGATAAAAAGTTAAGTAAAATAAACAAATCAAATTAAATAAAATAAAATAAAAAATAAATGCACATTAATGTGATTAGAAAAGAGCTACATTAGTTCCCTTCTTACTGAAACCTTTATATAAAAACAGAGTAAATACTCTTGAAATGTGCACTGAAATCAACAGAAACCGAGTTGGGAGTTTGTGATGGTTTAGGGAATAAAGCCCATTGCCAAACACCCACATATGTACACACAAGTGTAAAATCACAGAAACTATCTTAAAAACTAAAAACAATACTGGTCAAAACTCTGAACTTGCAAGGCAATACGAATGACAGCAAAACATTTTCATCTGATGACTGTGACTTATTTTGTAGATAATAAGATAATAAAGAGGACGAAGCAACAAAGCTTCCATGTGGAGTCCTGGAAAGCTCTCCATACAGCAGAATGAGCAATAACTATAGTCTTTTTAGCATAGCCAAAATGAAATCAGACAACCTGATCTCTGTCTTATACTTGACCAGATTTACTGATCCTGTATTATGGCTGGAGCGTGTCATTTCTGTGCTGCAAAGTCACCCAAGAGAATTGCAAAAAAAAAAAAAAAAAAAAGTTTTCAAACAGGTTTCCGGGTGGCTCATCCTGGTATTGTTCACCTATTGTTTCATAAATACTGTGTACGTCAATATATGGTCACATGCTGTAAGTAGGGGTGTGCGATATATATCGTCTGCGATAATATCGTAATTGTTGTTTTAACGATGTGCGATTTGACATTATCGAGTATTTTGCAAAAACCATTCAAAACATCCCTACAGAGCGCACGCATACATTACGTGAAGTCTAGACTAGTGCGTGTGCGCATTTAGTGTGTGTTTTTCACTGCGTGATTCAGTCTATTAAAATGCCTTTAGAATGATCACAAATTCAAGACATGATGGCAGAAAATGTATATATTTATACCACTTCATATAGTTATTCAATTTCACACGAAGAGTGCCGTTTTTCTCCAAAAATTACCATGATTACAAATGTGACATTGAATTCAATAAACAAT